CAACCCCAAATCCCCCTCTCTCACTCCACAACAATATGCAGAAGCACTTGAGTTCGATGTTCGGGTGCTCTGTTACTTGCACACACCAGACCCTACCCACTATTCCAAACCTCCACAACCTGACCGCACTACGACAAATAACGTCTAGAATCATTGTTTGGCTTTATCGATCATTTCACTCACATCCCTGTTATATTGCTGACCTGCTCCTATTGCAAGATGACTTTTAAGATCGCTATCATCGGATGCAAATTACTGACACAATTTCAGATCTATCCAAACCCATCAACTATTTTCAGTAATTTTGGCAAAGGAAAACACTCACAATTGTAAAACTATGTTATGTTATCACAATCGACGTCACCGCACACTGGGTATTCCCATGCATGCTCAGTCCTCCGATGCAGCAGCCACTCTAAAGTATTTATACTAATTGTTCCCACGAAAAGCTGTTTATATTTCCTATCTCGACCTCGAAGACGGCACAGACGAGCTTCACTATGCTTTACCCCTATGTCACGCAATCGTGTTAGTGTCAGGGATTCCCCATTATCCACTAGCCCAGTCCATACAGCTTTGACGATATCTGCTCTGTCCATGATTCGTCCTACATGCCTTGGTGCAATTTAAAACTAAAAATGGTGTTCCGAAAGGACGTTCTTTCAAGAATAGCTGCGTACTAGCTCGATCTCTTACGAGGTACGCTTGGCTTAACATTGGGGAACCTATTGGGGAACACATTAGAGAACATACTGGGGAACACATTCGGGAACACATTGGGGGAAAGATCGGGGAACACAGTGGGAAACATTTTGGGGAACATATTGGTGAACATATTGGGAAACACATTGGGAAACACATTGGGGAACATACTGGGGAACAAACTGGGGAACACATTGGGTAACATATTGGGGAACATATTGGGAAACACATTGTGGAACACATTCGGAGACACAAAGGCAAAATAACAAGGAGAACGAACTGGCCGTAGGGTAACCCACGAGGAACAACATCAGGGAGCTAGGGACATGAGATAGATTTTGGGACACAGAAAAGGAAGCAGCCGTCTGTCTCTGGTGATAGGAACATCAAACCAGAGAGCTGGCGCATATACCACAATCTTAGCCACACAAGTGGCGCAAACAAATCCAGACCGCAAATATAACCGGTGGCTGTTGTCCAGCATGTGTATGAGCAGAATAGGGAGTTTCACAATGGCGTGACTTCTATGACAGTCTGCTCACGACATGGTCAGGCCGCCACTATCTAAAATGTCCAGGGCATGCAGAAGTGTGAGGACAAGAATGAACGGATTTATTGGCTGCAAATGGCGCAGTTCTATGAATAATTAAAGTAAAGATCCCTTTTCACGCATTTGGGCATATGGGAAGAGCACCCATATTTTTGTAGAACAATCGGCACTTTGTGGGTAATGTGGTCAGCATTACGCCCGCCGTCTTTTCTTCCGCTGGACATACATCCTAGTACCCATTTTAGGCTGGGTCGACCTGCGACGACCCATACCATGATAAAAATCCACGCAGGAAACAGTGGATTCCGAAGGGGTCCTAATGGAGCAATGATGCGCAATACAAGACTCTTAATGTCTATTAGCCTCTCTTGCTCAAGCCTACCTCACCTTCACGTGGTGGACCCTGTTCTTCCCAGCAATCCAGTTGAAGGTTGGGTTCTTAACCCCCAGCGGGAAACTGGATGGGACAACAAACGAGGTAAAGGCGAAAGACGAATGGATGAGCCTACTCTCCTCGAGTATGATCACAGTCTACCCTAGCAAAACAAGGTGCTGAAGTCGGAGGCAACCAGCCAAGAGGCGCACCACAGCAATCAGGATGCCACGCACACACGCCATGGAAATATGTCTATATCAGCATTTATACAAGAGACAAAACTGCTGATATAGATAACTTATTTCAGGCAAACGAAAGAAGAAGAAGAAGTGGATTCCGATCGCGGTACGTTGAAATTACGAGCCAGACTCGCAACGCCTAAGCCACGGACGCCGCTCTATAAATAATAGTAGTGGATAAAACAAGGTCTATTTATGAACCAATTGTAAGTTAAGAAACAATATTAGATGACAGTTTTACAATGTCAGTAAAAGTAAAGGTTCTTTTCCCACGTCTTTAGGCATAGAAGGCATTCAGGGCTAGACTTTCATTTTCATAGACCAATCGGCACTTGGTGGATGATGTGGTCAGCATCACACCGGCTGCCTTTACTTCCCGGGACTGCATTCGGTACCTACTCAAGGCTGGGTCGACCTGGGATTCAAGGTCATTTTTGAAAAAAGTCCGGCTCTACCAGGGAGCGAACCCACGACCTTCCGATAAACACACGAGCGTCTATTCATAACACCACGGCGACTCCCAATATTACATGTAATGTCCGGAAAGGTAAAATATGCGTATACATATTGCTCAAAACAAAACAATACATACACGAAAGCTATCACGTCATGGTCAAATTAGGACAAAAAGGTGTATTAAAAAGAATTGCAAAAAACATGTTTACAAGAGAGGTAGAGGCAGCTAGAGAACATTCTGATTAGTCATTCATCCATCACGATCAGTGAAGATATGTGTCTTAAATAACAAGTAAGGACAAGTGTCCCTGCTATGTTACATAGGCTGATCCGCTTGATGTTGATGACAATAAGGATGATAATAATAGTAGTAATAATAATAATAACAACAACAAGAATAATCAAAATAATAATGGTATTGATGACGATTATAATAATTATGAACATAAACGTCCCCCTCACGCTCATCACATATTGGATAAATTGTCATAGGTCTATAATATTATAGATCGATCGACAATCGATGGCAAACCTGGCCAACAATAGGTCGGAAGCCTTTCACTTGCCAAGGTATTTTACATTTTTTTAGGGATTCTCAGTCAACACTCAGCCAACAAGCCATGGATCCAAACAACCAATCAATCAATCAGCCAACCAATTAGCCAACCAACCATGGAACCAATCAACCATCCAGTCAGTCAGCCAACCAGCCATGGATCCAAACAATCAATCAATCAATCAGCCAACAAGACATGGTCCCAATCAATCAACCAACCAGCCATGGTCCCAATCAATCAACCAACCAGCCATGGATCCAATCAGTCTGCCAACCAGCAATGAAACCAATCAACCATCCAATCAATCAGCCAACCAGCAATGCAACCATCCAGTTAATCAGTTAACCAGACATGGAACCAATCAACCATCCAATCAGTCAGCCAACCAGCAGTGGAACCAATCAACCATCCAATCAGTAAGCCAACCAGCAATGGAACAAATCAACCATCCAATCAGTCAGCCAACCAGCCATGGAAACAATCAACCATCTAATCAGTCTGCCAGACAACCAATTATATAGCCTACTAATCAAGATCGCTATGATCATATGCGAATTACTGACACTATTTTGGATCTATCCGAACCCAACAAAAACTGTTTTCAGTCGGCGTCTGTGGCTTAGGCGTTGCGAACGCGCTTCGTAATGTCAGGGTGCCGGGTTCGATTCCAGCTGCAGGCCTTTCGTTTGTTTCGACTGTGGAATCGAGAAGCCGACCAATTAGCAGCAATGGCAAACTACTGGATATAAGTTTGTCTAGAAAAAGCACAAAAGCAAAATAATGCTGGGGTTGGTTCTGCAACGTCATGTAAAGGACGCGCAACTATCTAATCAACATTAAGGAAGACTGGCTAATAAACAGAATCTTGTCTCGGAAATATTTTGGTCATATCAAGCGCCATGGCGAATTAGAAAAAACATTTTGTAGAAGAAGACATGGTACCAGGAAGGAGGCGCAGGGGCCGACAAAAAAACAAAAAAAAAAAACAAATTGAGCACATGATATAAATGACTCCTTGAATATGAAAGTACATGAGGCAGGAGAGCCGACGAGAGACCTAGTTTCTTTCAGGCAGACCGTGATGAGAGCGACGTTCTGCAAAGGGACTGCTACATGATGATGCTGATAATGACTCGTTAAAAAATAAACCAGCCAACCATCCGACCAACCACCCAATAAAACAACCACCACTCCGACAAACCAACAGTCCAGTTACCCATCCAGCCAACCACCGGTCCGACAAACCAACAGTCCAGTTACCAGTCCAACCAACCACCAGTCCGACATACCAACAGTCCAGTTACCCATCCAATCAACTACCAGTCAGACAACCCAACAGTCCAGTTACTCATCCAACCAACCGCCAGTCAGACAAACCAACAGTCCAGTTACCCATCCAATCAACCACTAGTCTGACAAACAAACAGTCCAGTTACCCATCCAATCAACGACCAGTCTGACAAACCAACAGTCCAGTCACCCATCCAACCAACCATCAGTTCGACAAACCAACAGTCCAGTTACCCATTCAACCAAACAACTATCCACTGCCAGTATCTTTGTCTGTTATAGGGTAATATAGGAGACATCAAATAACCTATTTCTCATTAGAAAATTCAGCGTGAGGGAGTTATTTCAGTTAAGAGTTGGATTGTCTTCACGGCACTCCGGACACATCGATAGATGCGGTGCTCAGATGCCTCCTTCAACATATACATCAGCGTCCGGAGGTCAATAGTGTCAGTCGTGTGCTGGTTAACAGGACTGTGTGTGCGTCCGGTGTACCTCTCATGCTTGGCAGTGCCGATCTTTACTCCAAATAATTGTATTCTTAACAGTGATGTGGATACGCTTCTCTGAAAATTCTCGGATCGTTTTATCTTTCTAAGAGCAAAAACATTATCGGCACGATCCATAGGCTGGCCATCTGCAACTAAGGCAGAACCGGCCAATATATCAACCTTTTTATTACCAACAACTCATGCAAGCCATAGAACAAATATAAAGCACTTGGAAGTTTCGCAATAACTCCATCCACTGTCTGCCTACTTCAAATGTTTTAGCATACATACTTTAAATTCTGGTTATTAACTATATATTTGGAATCGCACGTGACAATTTTATGCAGCAGAGGTTATGTTCCCCTTGACGTTCCGTGTTTTTTCCTTGGCCGTCTGGAGTTTGTGGAGGAGTGGCTCAGCTAGTAAGAGGCATGTGTCCAACAGTAGGCAGGTTCCAATGTAGTGGTAGGTTGCCATAAAGCCACCCGTGGTTTCAATTACTGCACCTGAAACAGACACAGTGGATGTTGTCAGTCATCTCTATCTCCCCCGCTGGCCGTCTCCCTCTCTCCTTTCCCTCCCTGTTCAATCCCATCCCTCTGCCCTTCCCTCCCTCTTCCTTCCCCTGCCTGTCCCTCTCTCCCTCCCTCCATCCCACCAATTGTACCTTAACTCTTTCAGTCCCGGACCGTTGTTACTCTAGTGATTAGTTAGGCTAATCATGACTGCACTCCGGACATATTCATAGGTGCTCCGATCTCCTCATGAAAAGCCCAACAAGCGTAACACGCTTGATGATTCCAGTTCTGTGTATTATCATGTAATGTTCCCATCATCAGTTACGCTGTAGGTAACTTCCATTGCTTGAGATGACACATAATTCTGTTTTTAAAGATGGACTTTAGCTGCATTGCATCCGTTGTCTTTGGGAGTGTCATGTTCCACGTTGTGACTTTTGTACCATTGTCCAAAAGCCATGTGAAGGGTCTGGATGGACATCAGCATTCACTAAAAGTTAGTCATGAAAGCAATAGAGGCTGAAATGTTATAGAAAGATTCTCAGAATGCCATGATTTGAGAAGAAAAGAACTACTGACATCAAACAAGATCTCCATCATCGAAAAAAATTGGCTAGTAAACAGCAACTTGTCCAGACAACGGAACTATTTTGACCGTATTAAATGTCACGGTGGATTTAAAAAAATTATCAGAAGTTTGTACACCAGGAAAAAGGGGTACCGCGAAGATTGGCACAGGATATATGTGATACCTTGGGTAAGAAAATTCACGAGGTGGAAGTGCTTGAAAAAGACAGTGTTGAACTGAGTTGAACTGATTCAAGAACCGATATCACATCACTCGTGGCATTCCCATAAGCGCTCCATCCCCATTTTCAGCAGCCAGTACAGAGTTCTAATACTAATGGTGCCAGTAGCATTATTATTAAAAGTCCGTCTTGCCTTTCCTCTAAGCCTCGAGCATTGGCCAGAACCTCTCGTAACTCCCCCCTGCATCCATTTCACCAGATTGTGGTGATCCATCTGCTCCTCCGAACTGTACACGCTCTCCCACAAAGCACTAACCACGCCTGCCTTACCATGCATCAGTATTCCACCAAGCTGTGCATAGCCAGCCAGTCTGTCCCCTGTTCATTTCCCAACACACCGGCGAATTTCAGAGAAGAATTCCAGATAATACCCCTCACCAGTGTCCTCCCCAGGGAAGCATGCCACTCTGCACGAAGCATGCCTGTCCTGACCTTCCTCAGCATGCTTTCTGAGTTAGTGTTTCTATCAGCCAGGCTGTGACGACAGCAACCTTCTGCAAAGGATCTGCTATACGATGATGATGAAATAATAAAAAGAGTTAACAGCCAAGGCATGATGAGCTGAGTAATACATAAAAACATCACAGAGCATGTTAGGAAAGGTGGATACAGGCATGCTCCTTGCAGAGTGGCAAGCATCACTTCAGAGGTCCCGGTTAGTAAGCATCCTTGAGATAATATTCTCCAGGTTATGCCGGTGTGTTGTGAAACAATCAGACAGATAGACTGGCAGTTCTGCACGAATTTAGTGGTGAACTGATGAATAACAATCTATATGTTATGAGTGTCCTTTATAAGCGCGTGAACACAAATAGATCTTTACGGTCTGAGAAGAATGGCTCTGCGAAGAGTTACCAGTGAATCTGGCTGACGCCCAACACTAAAGGGAAAGGGGAGACGGATGTACAATCAGGCAGAGACTAGTGCCACCGGAACTGGAACTCTTCGCTTGCTCCTAAAGATGAGGACAAGGCGCTTATGGGAAATACCCGAGGGCTATGATGTCGATTTTTAATTCAGCATTCAACATGATACATAAAGAGTTACCTTCGGACTTGCCGTGCTCACCTTGAATGGGGTGCTGGATAAACATGGAGATGCTGTTGAACATACTACTCATAGACAACATTTTCCCGAGGTGCTGAATGCCAAGAACATCCACGATGAGAACTGTAGTCAGGTTCATGCCGACGCCCCCGAAGAGACCTTGCGCCACGGAAAACAAGACCAACGTTTCAAAAGTTGTAAACAGCGGCATAAAATGAGTCACGGTCCCAAGAGCTGCAGAAATTCCCGCAATAATCAAATGCGGACGGACGATTTTCAAATCTGCTAAAAATCCAAAAGCGAGTCTGCCAACGATGTCCATTGATCCAACTATGGTGAGAAGGATGGCTGCTTTCTGCGAGGATATGTCCATTCGCTTCGCGTGTGAGGGTAGATACACAGTACTAAAACCTGACATGTGGATTAGAATGTAACTGAAGGCTATCATCATTGCCAGATAGTTTCTCAGCAAAGATATGTCGATTAAATCCTTAACCCAGAACCTGGATTTGGGCTTGTCTGGTTCTAGAGCAGTTACATGTGCAATGTTCAGCAAACTTCCCATTGTAGAAGCTGTATACAAGCTCCAATTGCTCGCACGGCGAACTTTTGGAGCAGCCATTTCAATTTGAATGTCTTTTGATGAAATTTCTGGTCTGATCAAGCGACTGATATGTGACAACTCATCGTCCGAAGATATGTTGCCTTTTTCTTTATGCTCGTCCGTAACCTCAGTGAAATGCGGTACCGTTTCTTTTGTACTGCAAGACATGCTGGTAATAGTGATGTTATTGGTGAATGCCGTTTGCTTCAGTTCATCATTTGGAACATTTGTACTAGACACATCCTTGGGGTACCCATCGGCGGCATAGAGTACTTCATGTGTATTTGTATCTGACCCCATTTCCACGTTCCCTCTGTCCTTTCCCTTGTCAGCACTCAGATACAATTTGCCATTGATCTCGCCAGTCTCCGAAGACCTGCTCAAGTCTCTGGTGATATTGTTGGATTCATGATCTGCCTGAATCAAAGGGAGAGACACTTCTTCTTCTTCTTCCAGGTTAGACCCCAGCTCATCTATTTCTGTTATAGAGATTTCAGTAATCCGAGCTGGCGAGCTAGCTAGCTGCTCCTGGTGTTCAGATACTGATATGTTTTCAGAGGGACTGGCAGCAAGATTTGATGTAATAAGTTTGTTACTTTCGTCACTATCATAAACGGAATGTTTTTCAAAGACTGTCCGATCGGCACGATTGTTTGGGGTTAAGGGATGACTTCTGGCTTTTTCAGGTCTGACATCTTTTGGCACGATTTTTCTGCGTCTGTATGTGCTTATAGGTCGTAAAAGTAGAGTCGCTACGATCGCATGCATCTGTTTAATTAAAAAAAGAGACAAACAGAATATTTTAATATAATATATTCATAATTCAAATCTACTCCTAGTTTTTTTTTCGTCTTCCTATTTTTATTTTTATTCTTTTCTTCTTCTTCTTCTCTTTCTTCTTTTTCCTCTTCTTCTTTTTTCACCAGCAGCGGAAAGTACTGATTATTCGTCCATTTGGACTTTAACTTTGTGTCAATGCCTGTTTTGGGTTACATCCGTTTTACTGGCTTATTTGTGTGCAGTCGATAGTTCCTTGCCTCTCAGGCAGATGCACTCCCGACTTCAAAAGAAGCTACCAAATAGTCGACTAAAAGAGGCGTGTTGGGGAGGCAGTGTCTATGTTTTTTTTTTCTCCCGACAATGAGGCTTCGGCACTCACAGAGGGACCTCGTTTTTTAATACCAGAAAATTTCTTTGGATTTTCTAGCGTAGAAGTTATATATCTTAACTATGATATTGATTGGTCTTTTAAAGAAGGAGAAGAAAAAGAGAAAAAGACGAAAAAGATGATGATAACGAAAAAGAACAAGAAAAAAAAGAACAGCAGCAACAACAGCTGTAGTAGCAGCAGTAGTAGTAGTAGCAGTAGCAGCAGTAGCAGCAGTAGTAGTAGTAAGCTAGAAGTAGTAGTAGTAGTAGTAGTAGTAGTAGTAGTAGTAGTAGTAGTAGTAGTAGTAGTAGTAGTAGTAGCAGCAGCAGCAGTAGCAGTAGCAGCAGAGTAGCAGTAGCAGCAATAGCAGCAGCAGCAACAGCAGCAGCAGCAGTAGCAGCAGTAGCAGCAGTAGTAGTAGTAAGCTAGAAGTAGTAGTAGTAGTAGCAGCAGCAGTAGCAGTGGCAGCAATAGCAGCAGCAGTAGCAGCAATAGCAGCAGCAACAGCAGCAGCAGCAGTAGCAGTAGTAGTAGTAGCAGTAGTAGTAGTAGCAGTAGTAATTTTTGTAATAACTACAGTGGAACCTCGCTTAACGAGCATAATTCGTTCCAGAATCATACTCGTTAAGCGAAAACAATTTTTCTCATATAAATTATTGTAAAATACGATAATGCGTTCCATGTCGAAAAAAAAAATACTTATAAAGTGCTATGTATAACGTTCAAAGAAAATTCTACACATATTGTTAAGGAGCGTGAATCATCATCTTTTCTTCAAATGCGGAACAAACCTACCTGGAATGTGAATTCAATTTGCAGACAACAAATGTGGAAATAATTACGATGCATTGCTAATAATTTTTTTTTACTAGAAGGATGTTCAGAGATATTTGTTTTTGCCGACGCTTCAAAATTTGGTGAAAATGCGACACTGCATTATCATTAAATAAATTTGCGCATAGCCACTTCCTTATTAGGATGATGCTTCTCAATGTAAGATACAACAGTTTGCCATGCTTTCAGCACTTCTTTTATTTAGTTAAAAGATTGTTGCTTTCTGTTACCTCCTCCTCTGACAAACTTTCCTCCAAAACTTTTTGCTGTGTAACAAAATGCAACTCGATAAGCTCTTTGGTGGTCAGCTCTTAGCTGTGCTCTTCCACAAGCTTTTGGATATCACTGTTATCCACCTACAATCCCATGATAGTGGCCAAAGACACAATCTCGTTGACTAGAGGTTCCATAGGTACTGTCTCGGACCCCTCAAAGTCACAAATCGACATCGCTCTCCGGCCAAAGCTTCTTCCAAGCAGAAATTAGGGTTCTTTAGTAACGGAGTGGTGTTACTCGTTATGAGAGGTGCTCGTTAAGCGAGGTTCTACTGTACTAGAAGTACTAACAGTAGCGGCAAAAGTAGTTTTTCAGGGTGGAGGGGGAGGCGGAGCAGAAAAAGGAAAAAGCAATAATCATAGTAATAATTGCAAGAAGAAGAAGAAGAAGAAGAAGAAGAAGAAGAAGAAGAAGAAGAAGAAGAAGAAGAAGAAGTTTTTTACAAAAACTATCTAAACAGCCAACGTGTTTCTGTTACAACCATTTCCCACCTCCAGCCCCGCCATAATCAAGAAACAGCCCTGGAAACCATACTCGTCTCTCAGGTAACGAATCAGCGGCGGTGCACACATAGCACTGGTACCCACTCCCAGAAGTCCCAGCGTTGCGGCTAAACCACGTCTCTGACGGAAGTAGTAGCCAACAAGGGTTAATGTGGCAATCAGGGTCACCCCTTTGACTATGTCTGTTGAGAAATCAGTCATTTTTATTGTCAGTGCCATCATTAGTTAAGACGAACGAACTTTATTTTCAAAGGGGTTACAAATTAGGCACGCAGGCCTGTCTTACATTCGGCCTTCTAAACTCCCATCTTTCACACAGCAGTTGTATCTCATCAATAAAGCATGTTATGTTCATGTAATTAGTCGATTAATTATATCAAATTTCGTCCTTTTTAGGACGAAATTTTTTATCATTTGAAGCCCTACTCTGGCTTTTGCCAGGGGCCGCAATATAGGCAGGCCATACATATGGCCAAATGTCTGAACGCGGTTTCTGGAACCTCTCTACGGCGATCCTCATCCGCATGGTGGCACTTTGTGTCATCGGGTGTTTATCGCTTGTGTGATGTCCTGGTGGGGTAGAAATTCAGTTCAGTTCAGTTCATGTAATAATATGCATATTATGAATATCAAGTGGAAAACAAAAGCATGGATGGTAAAATATGTGCGCACGCTCGCACGCGAACACACACACCCACATACACACGCAAATCCATTCGCTCACTTACACACATACACACATAGGCACCCAATACACACATACATCCACATACATACGAACACGCACAAACTCATACATACACACATATATACACACACGCACACACTCATACACACAGTCACGCGCTCTAAAACACACACGCACACAACCCAGACACATACAGATACAAACAGATATACAGACAAACACATACATACACACACGTAGCCGCACAAAAAGACCCACACAAACACACACACCGACGCACACAAACGTAAACCCACACAGACACATACACATACATACACACACGGAAAAACATAACAAAATAAGGCATCGTTATCCATGGGTTGGACCCTGGGCCCATAGTGGTTAAGGGCGTGGGGGAAGGGGGCAGAACGGACCCAATGCCTCCCTGAAAAGTATCTCGTAAGAGTTGACTACTTAGGGGTTTCCTTCGGAATCTGAGTGCATCTTCCTGAGTGGCAAAGAAACAGCAGTCTGCGTACAATAAAGCCACATCTATACAACGGATGTGCACGCAAAAATTACGCTCTGGAACAAGAATATTAGCCAGAAGTGGACGAACAGCCATGATTTTCCGCCGGAGTCTACAGCCGCTGAGCGCGAAGAAGATAAAGAAACAAGTGACAGGGATATGGAGTTATGCCCCTTGGCTTGCTTGTCGTCACGGTAAGTCCTGGGGAGGGCAATGATAGCATCACTTCTGTCCAGTACTGGATCAGCCATAACAATCGCAGTGTCTGCAAAATATTGTTTATTGGTTTATTCAACGGGTCAACATCATGGCATACTGGTATAATATATAAGTGCTCCCTTCTACTTCTAGCTCAAGTCTGAGTCTAAAGAATCTCAGCGCAGTGCCCGAACTCCGGTGCACCGGCGAGGATCCTGAAATACTTTAGGTAGATATTAAAGTCTAAATTTTGCCCGGGTAGCGCCGTTAGGCTACTCTTTTCCATTTTCAACTGCCAAGGGATTTTTTAATGTGCGCAACAATACAAACGGGCGTCCGGTCTTACTATCCAAAGACCAGGGAAAATTACTATAAGTCAACGGAATATACCCCAGCCTTCACCAATAAACCCAGTACCTCCAGCACTCGAGGCGGACGCCATACATCGAGACCACTCAACCCCTGAAGTCTGCAAGATAAACTGCACGCTGGTGAACACCCTTTTTTTATCTTAAAATCTTTTGTTTTTCTTTATGATTAAGTCTCGACCTCAACTGACAAAAATAGCAGTACTTACATTTGATCAAATTGATAATGAAGAAGACGGTGATATTTGGGACACCTGCAAGCAACAATGTCGCAGCCACGTTAAAGATGGCGGCAACTGAGGTCACAACCCGGATTGAGAATCTTATCACCAACACGTTAGTGGAAATTTGTGCTGTTGCAAAAGACATGATTAACATCTGTGGTTAGTAGTTGAATTACCATGATTAACACTTGTAATTTACATGGTTAATGCTTGTAAGTGATATGATTAATAATTATCAGTGACATGGTTAATAGTGGTGATTAACATGATGAATTCTTTTAAGGGAAATATTTCATAATTGAAAATCATATTATTAATACTAAAGTTAACATTAATATTAGATGTATTATCTATAATAATATATGTAAAACTAACGAGTCACACCTTTAATTAGCATTTTTAATACGTGTAACGTGTACTTTTAGTAAATAACATGCTTAAGTTGTCGTTATATTGAAGCCCCACCCCGGGGGCCGCAATATGCCCTGACAGTTAAACGCAGTTTCTAGGACCACTCCATAGGTGATCCTCATCCGCACGGTGGCACTTTGTATCACCGGGTGTTTATGGCTCTGTGTAATGTTCTGGTGGGCTACGATTTACTTACTTACTTCTAGCAGACATCATTACATTTGTAATTAACGTGATTATTACTTATGATTAATACTTGTAAAAGATGCCTAATAATTACTATTGCTATGATTATTACCGGTAATTATTTAATAATATTTTTCAAGACATGATTTTTACGTGTAGCGGATACGATTACCACTTCTAAACAACATGACTGGTACCTGTAAGATAAAGGCTTTAAGTTTGTGAGTGACTTCTGTAACTCTCTTCAGTGCAAAGGTAAGATGATTATCCCAAATGATAAACAGACAGAATATGCAGACTGACAGAAAGACTGACAGAGCTCCAGCCAGACAGACAGATAGACACTAAGGCAGACAGACAGACAGACAGACAGACAGACAGACAGACAGACAGACAGACAGACAGACAGACAGACAGACAGACAGACAGACAGACAGACAGACAGACAGACAGACAGACAGACAGACAGACAAACGGGCGGACAAATGGATGAATAAACAGACAGACAGACAGGTAGATAGATAGACAAACGGACGGACGGACGGACATATGGATGATTAAACAGACAGACAGACAGGTAGACAGACAGACAGACAGACAGACAGACAGACAGACAGACAGACAGACAGACAGACAGACAGACAGACAGACAGACAGACAGACAGACAGACAGACAGACAGACCGACCGACCGACCGACCGACCGACCGACCGACCGACCGACCGACCGACCGACCGACCGACCGCCGACCGACCGACCGACCGACCGACCGACCGACCGACCGACCGACCGACCGACGATCGATCGATCGATCGATCGATCGATCGATCGATCGATCGATCGATCGATAGATAGATAGATAGATAGATAGATAGATAGATAGATAGATAGATAGATAGATAGATAGATAGATAGATAGATAGATAGATAGATAGATAGATAGATAGATAGATAGATAGATAGATAGATAGATAGATAGATAGATAGATAGATAGATAGATAGATAGATAGATAGATAGATAGATAGATAGATAGATAGATAGATAGATAGATAGATAGATAGATAGATAGATATGCATATTTGCAGCCTTGCCACAGTATACTTGCCACAACATACTTGCCACAACATACTTGCCACAACATACTTGCCGCAGTATACTTGCCACAACATACTTGCCACAGCATACTTGCCACAACATACTTGCCACAACATACTTGCCACAACATACTTGCCACAGCATACTTGCCACAGCATACTTGCCACAACATACTTGCCACAACATACTTGCCACAACATACTTGCCACAATATACTTGCCACAACATACTTGCCACAGCATACTTGCCTCAACATACTTGCCACAGCATACTTGCCACAACATACTTGCCACAGCATACTTGCCACAACATACTTGCCACAACATACTTGCCACAACATACTTGCCACAGCATACTTGCCACAACATACTTGCCACAGCATACTTGCCACAACATACTTGCCACAACATACTTGCCACAACATACTTGCCACAACATACTTGCCACCACCTACTTGCCACAACATACTTGCCACAGCATACTTGCCACCACCTACTTGCCACAGCATACTTGCCACCACCTACTTGCCACAACATACTTGCCACGACCTACTTGCCACAACATACTTGCCACAGCATACTTGCCACGACCTACTTGCCACAACATACTTGCCACGACCTACTTGCCACAACATACTTGCCACGACCTACTTGCCACAACATACTTGCCACGACCTACTTGCCACAACATACTTGCCACAACATACTTGCCACAACATACTTGCCACGACCTACTTGCCACAACATACTTGCCACAACATACTTGCCACCACCTACTTGCCACAACATACTTGCCACAACATACTTGCCACAACATACTTGCCACAACATACTTGCCACAACATACTTGCCACAACATACTTGCCACAGCATACTTGCCACAGCATACTTGCCACAACATACTTGCCACAACATACTTGCCCCAACATACTTGCCACAACATACTTGCCACAACATACTTGCCACAACATACTTGCCACAACATACTTGCCACAACATACTTGCCACAACATACTTGCCACAACATACTTGAAACAGCATACTTGCCACGACCTACTTGCCACGACCTACTTGCCACGACCTACTTGCCACGACCTACTTGCCACGACCTACTTGCCACGACCTACTTGCCACGACCTACTTGCCACGACCTACTTGCCACGACCTACTTGCCACAGCATACTTGCCATGACCTACTTGCCACGACCTACTTGCCACGACCTACTTGCCACAGCATACTTGCCATGACCTACTTGCAACGACCTACTTGCCACGACCTACTTGCCACAGCATACTTGCCATGACCTACTTGCCACGACCTACTTGCCACGACCTACTTGCCACGACCTACTTGCCACGACCTACTTGCCACGACCTACTTGCCACGACCTACTTGCCACGACCTACTTGCCACAACATACTTGCCACAACATACTTGCCACGACCTACTTGCCATGACCTACTTGCCACGACCTACTTGCCACGACCTACTTTCCACGACCTACTTGCCACGACCTACTTGCCACAACATACTTGCCACGACCTACTTGCCACGACCTACTTGCCACGACCTACTTGCCACAACATACTTGCCACGACCTACTTGCCACGACCTACTTGCCACGACCTACTTGCCACGACCTACTTGCCACGACCTACTTGCCACGACCTACTTGCCACGACCTACTTGCCACAACATACTTGCCACGACCTACTTGCCACGACCTACTTGCCACGACCTACTTGCCACACAGTAGCAGATGCTGCCCACCGACATCATGATGGTCACAACAGTGATGGGGATGTTGAACTCCTGCATGTAGTCCAGGAGGAGCACCGAGTGCCAGTGGTCATGGCTGAGGTAGACGAAGAACAGGAGGAAGCAACCTGCCGAGTTCAAACAGTTTTAGTTGCAGCACCAGTAGAAGCAGCAGCAGCAGTAGACGTAGTAACAACTATACTGGTATTGTATTGTTATTCATACCACTACTACTACTACTGCTGCTCTTGTTGTTGTTACAAGCGCTGCCGCTGCTGCTACTATTACTACAACTTCTGCTGTTACTACAAATGTTGCTGTTGCTGCTACTTATACCACTACTACTACCACCACTACCCACTACTATTACCACTATTAATGCTGCAGCTGTTGTTGCTCCTGCTGCGGCTACTACTACTACTACTACTACTACTACTACTACTACTACTACTACTACTACTACTACTACTACTACTACTACTACTACTACTACTACTACTAGTACTACTGCTACTACTACTGTGGTTGCTGCCACTGCTGTTGCCGCTACTACTAATACTGCAGGTGCTGCTGCTTCTGTTGCTACTACTAATACTACTACTACTACTACTACTACTACTACTACTACTACTACTACTACTACTACTACTACTACTACTACTACTACTACTACTACTACTACTACTACTACTACTACTACTACTACTACTACTACTACTGCAGTTGCTGCTACTTCTACTGCTACTGCTTCTGCTTCTGGTGCAGCAGCTGCTACCAGTAGCAGTAAGTAAAAAAGTAAAGGACCCTTTTCCACGCCTTAAGGCGTATAGGGCATATAGGGCGAGACCTATATTTTTATGGGCCAATCGGCACAAGATGGGTGATGTGGTCAGTATCACGGCGGCCGCCTTTACTTTCCCGGGACTGCACCCGGTACCCACTCAAGGCTGGGTCGACCTGGGAGCCAAGGTCATTTTTGAAAAAAGTCCGGCTCCGACCAGTAGCAGTAGTAGTAAAATAAGTAGTAGTTACTGTAGTGATAATATTAGTTGTTGCGGCGTTGGTAGCAGTATTAGCCACAAAATCAATAGTAGTAGTAGCAACGGCATCCGTAGTAGCAGATATAGTGGTAGTAGTGGTGATAGTGGTGGTGGTAGTAGTAGTGGTGATAGTGGTGGTGGTGGTAGTAGTAGTAGATATAGTGGTAGTAGTGGTGATAGTGGTGGTAGTAGTAGTAGTAGATTTAGTGGTAGTAGTGGTGGTGGTAGTAGTAGTAGATATAGTGGTAGTAGTGGTGATAGTGGTGGTAGTAGTAGTAGCAGATATAGTGGTAGTAGTGGTGATAGTGGTGGTGGTAGTAGTAGTAGATATAGTGGTAGCAGTGGTGATAGTGGTGGTGGTAGTAGTAGTAGATATAGTGGTAGTAGTGGTGATAGTGGTGGTAGTAGTAGTAGCAGATATAGTGGTAGTAGTGGTTATAGTGGTGGTGGTAGTAGTAGTAGATATAGTGGTAGTAGTGGTGATAGTAGTGGTGGTAGTAGTAGTAGATATAGTGGTAGTAGTAGTGGTGATAGTGGTGGTGGTAGTAGTAGTAATTAGCTAATGTTTTTTTAAGATATGTTCATTACACTTGTTTATTTGTCCGTGGTGTTTTATCATTTGTCATTAAGAGTAAATATTTCTCTTTCATGTTCTCCCTTAAAAGGGTTGTTGGCCCATTGTGTTGTGCTTTACAGATAGACTGCGAGTACATCTGACTTTAACAAAACCTCAAATTGTTGCCTTGACATTTCTTTTAGCATGTATTTGTTGTAGAAAGCGGGTATATTTTTTCTTCCTTGTTTTTCACCCTCCAAGTAGCTATGTGAAGATTTGACCCCCTTGAAAATTAAAAAATCTTATTTCGAATGGCAAGCCAACAGGGAATGTTCAATACTCCATTCAACATCCAGAGAAGTAATAATTCGGCATCCGTCTGGGGCCTCACCTACACAGCACTGCAGATGCACTTCTTCGTAGGTGGAAGGTTTCTGGCCTTGTCTTGTTGGTCTGCCACCACCATGAGATTCTATTGTCAAACCATTCAGGTCCAGTTGGTCTGCCACCACCACGAGATTCTATTGTCAAACCATTCAGGTCCAGTTGGTCTGCCACCACCACGAGATTATATTGTCAAACCATTCAGGTCCAGTTGGTCTGCCACCACCACGAGATTCTATTGTCAAACCATTCAGGTCCAGTTGGTCTGCCACCACCACGAGATTGTATTGTCAAACCATTCAGGTCCAGTTGGTCTGCCACCACCACGAGATTCTATTGTCAAACCATTCAGGTCCAGTTGGTCTGCCACCACCACGAGATTCTATTGTCAAACCATTCAGGTCCAGTTGGTCTGCCACCACCACGAGATTCTATTGTCAAACCATTCAGGTCCAGTTGGTCTACCACCACCACGAGATTCTATTGTCAAACCATTCAGGTCCAGTTGGTCTGCCACCACCACGAGATTCTATTGTCAAACCATTCAGGTCCAGTTGGTCTGCCATCACCACGAGATTCTATTGTCAAACCATTCAGGTCCAGTTGGTCTGCCACCACCACGAGATTCTATTGTCAAACCATTCAGGTCCAGTTGGTCTGCCACCACCACGAGATTCTATTGTCAAACCATTCAGGTCCAGTTGGTCTGCCACCACCACGAGATTCTATTGTCAAACCATTCAGGTCCAGTTTGTCGGCTGGACCTAAATAGTGAAGAATTATTTGGCAGCTCCAGAAATATGGTTTTATAGACGAATGATGAGAATTCAGTGGACAGATCAAAAGATTAATAAAGATTCTTGAAAGAAACTGACATAGAGAAGTGAATGCCCATATCAGAATGAGACAATCTACATTCTTTGGTCATGTGATGAGACAGAGAAAACTGGAGTATATCGTGACAGTAGGAAAGTTGGAAAGAGGCAGAGGCAGAGGGAGAGAAAAGATGCTGGGCAGTTTGGCATCATGGCATGGAGAACAATCTGTGCCAGAGATGATTGAAGGTAAACAAGGCAGAAGGTTGTGGACAGACATCTTCTTCTTCTTCTTCTTCTTCTTCTTCTTCTTCTTCTTCTTCTTCTTCTTCTTCTTCTTCTTCTTCTTCTTCTTCTTTGCGTTCACCAACTGTAAACTGTGGAAGATTCTGTTTGTTCGTTCACTTCTAGACTGCAGTCCTGTTCCAGGACAGACATGACTACCAGTTCAACACGGCATGGACTGTAAGATAATATTGTCACGGTTCCAACTTTACGGCAAAGGAGGTCAGCTAAAAATTACTCGTTCCCTATGCGAGCAACCCAGCAAAAACCAAACAAAATGTTCATTGCTCTCACTTGTGGGGGAAGAGGTTGGGGAACGAGGGAAGGGGGATTAGAGACTGCAGTCTCGGCAAAGCAAACACAATACACATGCATTAAAGCCATAATGCAATCAACAGTGTTGCCAGCATAAATAGTCTGCCAGTTTGATTGCAATTCCTCGCTGATGGAAGCAGCACTTACAGCAGATCCGTAGCTTTACTCGCAGTAAGGCGTAAGGCACCGCTGCGATAACAGGTCACTTGCCATTTTCTGAGTGGTCTCGTGGAATAGCATCCGCCTCGAGTGCTAGAGGTTCCGGGTTCAACTCCAGTAGAGGCTGGGATTTTTTTCACGTGGACTTGTAGTAATTTTCCCTGGTCTCTGGGTAGTAAGACCGGACGCCTGTGTGTAAAGAATCCCTCGGCAGTTGGAAATCGAAAAAAGAGTAGCCTAATAGCGCTGCCCGGCAAAATTTTGAGTTTAAAATCTACCCAAAGTATTTCAGGATCCTCGGAGTTTGTGCGCTAGAATAAGATTCCTCAGACAGGGTTGAATTAGAAATGGAACTGTGCACTCATGTCGATCCGTTGAGTGAACATTAATATTAACACCATTTTCTGAATCTGCAGTTCACTTCACAAACCACAGCCAAAAAGCATTCTTAAATGACACGCGCAGCTAGGCAGTTAGGGATAGAAAAGAAAAAGAAAAACACAGTTGAGAACGGAGGACACACTAGAATACAAGTGTCAGTCAGTACATTACAATGAAAGAGGAGAAAATGTAATTTCACACAAAGAACACATCACTTACTAAAATCAATTACCCACGCCCATCCTCTGTCGTATGGAACATTGCTGTCGTCATATTCAACATTTGTTGCCGATTTAATTTCTTCGCTATGTTTTGCTATAGAATTCCTTTTCACCGCATTACTGTTTTTGAAATCACAAGTATCTTCACTGAAAGAAACTGTCCTTGATTGTCTGTGTGTTTTCTCCTGTATTTTATTATTTTCATCCGGTGTCGTGTCTGCTAATGCTTGCTGCTTTATTTCAAGCAAATTATTGGAATCATAATTACCATCCTCTTTGTTGTATGGCACATCCCCGTTTTTGGTTAGTATTGTTTTAAGATTGTCGTTATTTTCTGTAGTCATTTTTCCTTTTATTTCTATTTACGCTAAAAATATCGAACGTGGCAAGACTGGTGTTCCGTATATTAGACTGACAACTGTGATTCACCGCTCAGTTTTGGTTCCTTCTGAAAATAAACGGAAATGGTTTCACTGGTGTTAGCATGGC